AATAAAATCTGTCAATACCTCCATTTCTTCCCCATCTATTTGCCAGGAATTGAGAGGGCAGGATGCCATGATTTTGGTTTTCTTAATGTTGAGTTTCAAGCCAACTTTTGCACTCTCCTTCTTCACCCACATCAAGAGGCTCTTTAGTTCCTTTTCACTTTCTGCCATTAGAGTGGTATCATCTGCATATCTTAGGTTGTTGATATTTCTCCCGGCAATCTTAATTCCAACTTTTGATTCATCTAGCCCTGCCTTTCTCATGATATGCTCTGCATATAAATTAAATAGTCATATAATATATATAATATATAATAGCCAACCTGAAATGATCCAGACTATGACTGGTAAATACCATACATACAATAATATGGTTCTATGGCATTTAACTTTTCAGATTTTTGCCTCAAAAATGCATAGAAATGGTTGAAACATGATTTACTTAAGGCAGAATTACATTTTAGTTAAAGACTACCTATTTGTGTAAGCTTACTGAGATAAGAGTTCTACACATTATTTACTTTAGCATAAGCATTATGCAATAACATTTTTTAGACACTCTAATGTAATTATCTCCCTCAGTATGATGTTCTAAAATATATAGGAAAACATTTTCAACCACATTTGAAAGGCAACAGATCGGGGAAGATAAACTGGAAAGTCAAAACTTTAACTGAAAAGAAATTGAACAATTTGAGAACCCATGACCACATGTACCGTGATAGAGCAGTGACAGGATTATTCTATTGGGCTGGATGATAGCAATAAAGAAGTGAGATATTTTCAATTTAATCCTCTTTCAATTGAGGGCACTAACAGAGATTGCAGTGTCCTCTGCAAAGAACACTAATTAGAAAGATAATTCCCTTCACAAGAAACATGGATTCATCTACAAGGATTCACACTTCTCTGAAGAACTGGAAGAACTTCCACAAAATGACTAATAGACCTAAAATATCCAAATCTTCACAGGCCACTGATAACTGTCTTCTTTCTAGGGATGTTCCTTGAGCATGTGGTAGTTGACTGAACTAAGTTTATTAAATTATTTTCTGAATCCATTTCAGCCAGTATTTAGAACTATTTATGATTTATATGATGAGGTCTTCTATATGTTTTTAAAATAAATTACAGGGTTGTTTTTTTAAAAAACAGTAGTTTTAATTTCTATTGTCTAGAACAGGGATAGGCAACCTCGGCTCTTTTATAGCATAGCTGACTCAGGAATTCTGGGAGTTGAAGTCCATGAGTCATAAAAGAGCCGAGGTTGCCTACCCCTGGTCTAGAAGTACATAGTATATTGAGTTTACTATGGCTGCATTCACTCATATATTGGAGTTCTTTAAATTTTAACTTAACCAGAAACTAATAGGCTGATATAAAACCTTTATTCTGCAAGTTCTTCCAGACAACAGAAGAAAATTCATCGTGTTTGGTTTAATATAGGGTCCCTAAATGTTTGAACTAGTGGACCAATATTAAGATTTTGGAGGATATCATGAGCATTTCCCCAAAATATCAATTAGAAAAAAAATAGTTGATCCTTCTTATCCTTTCTCAGGCAGCTCCCTTATCTCAACTTGCTTTTATTCTCCTCCAAGCTCTTCTGGGCACACTTTCAATAAGAACTATCGGCTTCAGTCTATTTTTTATTTTTATTTTTGAAAACAGCTTAGGCATATATGCAGTTTGGAAACATGATTGGAAATAAAAATGTAAAGATGCACCTCATGTTGAGTTTAATTCCCAGTGACTGCATGGAGACATCAATCTAGTATTGTTGGCAGAAATACCTCAATGGTTTGTTACCTGACTTCTGAGATTTTTTTAAATCTAGCATTCTAATCAGGAATTTAATGCTGGAATTCCCTGTTATTGTCCCATCCTAGAACTAACTAACCTTGCCTAGTTTCCTTTACCTCAGAAAAGGTAAGCCAGGTATTTCCACCTGCTGACACTTTCTTGAGAATAAAGACTGCATTTGAAACTGATTTCCATTTGTGGCATAGGAGCTTCCTGTTTGTTTTATTCTAAAGATATCAGATGGGGCATGATACTTGATGGATGTCAAGTATCAATGGCACTCCAGAATTTGTGGACATGTTGCTGCTCTCCCAAGAAGCTGGGATCATAACCCAGGGTTGGCAACTTACTATTATGCAAGCAAATCTTATATTTGGAAAGCCACAAAGATGACCTTAGACTTGGTATACAGAGACAGTTACAAAACTCAACAAAAGGAGAAAGCGTTAGAAAGAAACTCAAACTAACTGCCTTCCATTCCCTAGGGTTTGAGACAGGGACGGAAGGAAAATCAGCCAGTCTTTTAAGATTCTGTTATCATATAGATCAGTGGTTCTCAACTTTTTTAATGCTGCGACCCCCAACCGGTCGTAAGTTGAGGACTACTCAACCGGTCGTAAGTCGAGGACTACTCAACTGGTGCAGCACCGTTTGCAGAATGGGACTTTTGGCAGGCTCAGCAGGGCAGAGACAGCCTGGACAATTCCTATTGGCTTTTGAAAGCCAATAGAATTAGACTCTATTCAAGAGAGTCTATTCTATTGGCTTTCAGAAGCCAATAGAATAAAAGGGAGTAGCACAGCTAAGGAAAAGGGGAAAAAATGGCGGACTGCATTGTTTGGCGACCCCCATGAAATGGTCGTTCGACCCCAAATGGGGTCCCGACCCACAGGTTGAGAACCACTGATATAGATCAATAAAGACAACTTCCAATCATTCTTGAGCAGCCTGTTTCCTGTCTTGGCATATCTCAAAGGGATGTTAGTATATCAAGAGCTTTTAAAGTACCCTACATATCTAGCAAACTAAAGCTGAGAAAGGAAACTTGTTCACTGTGCTAGAGTCCTTATGTATAAAGTACTTTATGCAATTATATCTCAAATGCATGTAATAAGTACCTTAAAACTAGCTCACGTTTCTAATACTCCCACATATAATCAAGAGGAAAGCACAGCAGAATGTTTCACAACTAAGGCAAACATTGATTACACTGTAGTGATACCAAGGACAAGAAAAGCAGTAGTTAAGGAATACTATCAGCCTCCTCATACTCCTGCTTCTTCATCAATAAGGATGTTAAGTATGACAAACATGTTGATAGAAATTAGACTGGATTCTTGGAAGGGTAGAAAATGTAGAATTTGTCCCTAAAATTTAAACTCCACAAGAAAAGAGTTTGTAATTTTTTTTAATGAGTATCTCTGTCATTCATTTTCCCTCGGTGTACTGAGGCTCAGTAGCTTCATGACAGCATAACTTTATTTGCATAGGCAATCCATTGGTACTCAATTATTTAACAAACCAATACAATTTTAAATACAGGACTTTATCTGTTTAATAACTAAAATTTAAATCATCTTTCTAATTTACACATTGTAATGAGTCACAAATCTACTAAACAGAAAAAATCTGGCTGTGTGTGTGTTTAATGATATTTTTAATCCCATCTTTATTATTTTTATAAATAACTGAAGGCAGTAAACATAGCTAATAATCTTTCATGCTCCTATTTTCCCCACAATAACAACCCTGTGAGATGAATTGGGCTGAGACAGAGTGACTGTCCACCTAGCCAACTTTTATTCCTAAGGGAGGATGAGAACTCATGGTCTCCTGGTTCTAGCCTGGAGCCTTAATATCTCGGCCAAACAGGTTCTTCTTCTGTAAACAGGAAAAGGATGACACTGTTATATTCTAGTACAGCAGATTATCTGACTACCTTGCTATTAATCCGTATAATTTTCTACCATAGGTGAGCCAATGTATGAACATGGGGATATTACCTTCAATTTCTTGAATCATCTACAAAAGAGCCCTATCATTTATATATAGGGTTATCATTTATGTATAGGGTTTCCTGCCTAAGCAGGGGGTTGGACTAGAAGACCTTCAAGGTCCCTTCCAAATCTATTATTATTATTATTATTCAATAATATCTATGTTTGCCTTCTAGAAATATCAGGATCTGAGAGGCATTGAAAGAGGAAATGTATAGAATTACATTGTATTAGGAACGTTTGTCCCCTTGAATTATGTATAAAAAGGTAGATTAAATGCCAGGAATGGCTAATGAACTTGCAGCTGTGATTTCACATTTTTGTTTATATAATAATTTATATTTCACACTTAACCATCCATCTCCCTCAGAGTGATGTACAATTTAAATAATGAATACAAGCAATATATGACAAAGTAGCAACCATGCTGTATTGGAAAATCTGCAAGAAATACCATTTGCCTGCAAGCAAAAACTGGTAGGAACACAAAACAGACTAACAGAAATTGAAGAAGCTAAAGTGTTCGTAGAATTCAAACAGACAAGCATCTGAAACATAACACTTAACAATTGTTGATAAGGAAGAAAAAAGTCTGGATAGTGGATATTGCAATACTTGGGTAAAGCACAGTAGAAGTAAAAACTGGAAAAAATAAAAACATATACGGATCTGTAAATAGAAATAGAACAACTGGCAAACAATAGCAAAGTAAAACAGTGATAGGCATCTTGGTGCAATCCCAAACCAACTGGAGCACCACTTTGAACACATCAGCATTGACAAAATCACCAAAATCAATCAACTGCAAAAGGAAACTTTACTTGGAATTATGTCCTGTGACAATATCTTTAACACTATTAACAATATCTGCCTACCCCAGGTCCTTGGGAAGAAGCCAGTAAGTAGATAAAAATGCTAACTCCAGTCTAAACAACTGGTTGACTTTGTGACTAACTATAATAACCTATCAATTACAAAAAGCCGCACTACTTGGATGTGCCCATATACTGCAGCAATATATTATGACATTCCAAGTTCTTGGGAAGAATTTAATGTGTATGAAGGCCAACTCCAGTTGAAGGATTGGCAGGTGCAATTTCACACTGTTGTATATATAATAAGTATACTTTCAACAGATCTTTTTACTACTTTTCTACAAAATAAAACACAATCATAAAAAAGAACTACAGATTTACAACTCACTTAGCTTTTTGAATCCAAATGCAGTAATCTGTGATGTAAAGGTCATTAAGAATATATGCAGGATCATTCTCCCGAAAAATCTTGTGAATATCTAGCAGACACTTCAAAATGGCACTTTTACCTAAAAAGGAAAGATAATCACAGCTAAGATTTTTGGGGCAGTGAACAATCATAAGTTTCATAACTAATTGTAGGTACAATTGCTCTCAACCTGACAGCATCTCTGTTTGATATGACAACCTGACCCAAGCTTTTTTAAAGCTTTCAACTATTAAAGTTTCATGCAAAAATCATTTCTCATTTCTTAAAATTAAATTATGTTGTATTATGATTTATCACAGTCAGCCAGATGTTCAGACTGGATTTAATTTGAAATTGATATAAATCTACAACATATATAAATTACTGCATAACTTGCAAAGTTCAGGTCAAGTTAAAATTCTCACCTTTTATTTTTATATAGAAAGCCCATTATTCTCTAGCGGGCAGGTTTATATTGGCAAAACAGTACCAAATAATGATATACCACGTGACGTACTTTTATTTTAATATTTGATAGCCCCTATTACTATAATAATTCATATTCACTCATATTGTCAAATAATGTTTCATTATTTGCCTCAACTCTTCTGAAATCCATAACATAATCATGTACCAAGTGTAAAAGCTGAACATTCACTCCCGTTAACTATTTGCTTAAGAACAGCCTAAGTTATTTCAGTTCCATTCATAACACGAACAATGATCCAACTGAGCCAATCACATTTCATCTTACAATGGTTTCCTAGGTAACTTGAGACATCCAAATGAAAGCAACTGGCAATGTGGAAAGAAATTAAACAAGTTTCATGTTGACTTTAAAACTGCTAAACATTTTTAATGAGTAGAAGAGACGAGGCAACTCCAGGGGATACAGGCATGTTTGGCTTTATACCTAATCTATCTAAGAAAAAGTTTTGTTCCTTGGATGGTTATTACAGGTATTTTAAAAAGGCTTTCAGTGGCACATTTTGAGAATTTGATCATAAAAATGATACATTATCCTTTAATATACATTTATGCAGCCTTCTATACAAATGATAATTTCACTTATCTGAAAATCTTTTATTTCTTGTCTGGCCTATCAAAAGGACATTTTACTGCTGGAAAAAAAAATACTTTTGATAAGTGGTCCAGCAGAGGGAAGGATATATACCTCTATTCCTCTTTGCAAGTTCACATGCTAGCTGTGAAGGGAAAGACAACTCTGCAATCAGTGCTGAATGACAACCAGCTAGAATCTTCACTGTCTTATATTAAATTCCCTGTCGACCCAGATAATTAGATGAACAGTTAAATGTATGGGTCACCTGCAGATGAAGTAATTAATATAAATATTTGAACTCTCTTCTATACTATAGGCAATAATTGTTTCTCTTTGCTTAAAACATCCCAACTAGCATGTGTTACTTTTGTGAAACTACTATACCAAACTCGCAACGTCATGTAATGTGTCGCAACGTATCGTGACTTTTTTGCCATTGCCCGCAATGGGCAGGTGTGATTTTGCTATGATGCATCCGGCCTGTGGGCCGGCAGTTTGACACCCCTGTACTATACCTACTATATCTAGATCTACTCTTTATCAGGCCCACATTTAACTCTAGATAATTTGTCAAATAAACAGGGAATTGCAACTGGTTTCATATGTCAACCTGTATTATATACACAGACACATTTGACAGATGTCTACACTTCACAAAATTCTAAGTGTTGGATAAACTTGATAGAAATAGTTTCTCCCGCTACCCTTGTAGTCCACTTATTTATCAACATAATTTCATTTCCCCAAGGCCAATCTGTTTCACTAATGTGAATACAAATATTGTCCAAAAATATTCTTTCAAGCCAATGCCCTATCTCTGAAGTATCTAAAATATGGAGGTAATTTTCAAGTCAAACCATTTAATAAAAATGTATTATCTTACCTAATTTCAGTATCATTTTAGTATCATTCAAGGCTCGTATCACTAAACTGAAGTGTCTGTAAAGTGGATAGCACAGAACTCTTCTTCCAAAGGATATAAGGACTTCAGAAATGCTAGTAAAACTCTGCATTTTAAAAAAAGTGGTTATAAGAGATTTTTAAAAAAATGTTTATTTCAGTATTGGTTAAGATTAAAGTTAAAAAAATGACCTGTAAAATTTCAGAATATAACAACATGCTTTTTAAGAAATTTCTACATTTCTACACATATATCTAAAGTGTATTTTCTTTAGAAATTTTATATAATTATCTTACCTCCAACCAGCATAAAGTTGAGCTCAATTTTCGTATGTTCCATGGTGATTCAACCTTAAAGAGAAGGATATAGAAAAGTCAGTTATAACATAATTCTATAAACAGGGCTTAAGAAAATATAACATTATGTTGATTTATGCCAATCCTGAGAATATGGCTATTGCTAAAATAAAATGGAGCTATAAAATGAACATAATTTTGAATCATCTCCTACATTCTTTGAGCTTTTTAGTTTTCTGCTAACCATACAAAATTGGCTAAGGCCCAAATGTTTGAAGAGGACTTTACAGGACAAGTTTTTTTAAATAAATAATTAGAAAATAGAGGAATGTCAGACATTCCTAAATTATTTTAGCAATGTGATTGTGTATTCTTTCAGAAGAATTTTTAAAAATGTTAACAGTTCAACATCAATCCTTTTCTTATCTTCCATATGTATTCTAAAATATTTCTTTTTATTTGATTATTGAATAAAATGTCATAGAATTAAAGATGTTTTTAGCACTACTAAAAAATGTAGAGTACATAGTAGAAGCTATGAAAACCACCATGTACAATAAGGAGTTGGACTAAGCATTTATATCTCTATAGTAGAAAAGTGGATAACTCTGGGGTAAAGAAATTTTGGAAGCCCATGATTACATTTTATTTTTTGTGTCTGGGGATTGCAAAGTCGATAGGGTTGAACATTTGGTGGAGGTGATCAAAGGTAAAAGTGAGTACTCTAAACTATTTTTCTCCAAATAGAGGGGAAAAAATCAACCTGATGGGGAAGAAATAGACCCTTCCTTAAGGATCTATTCCTTTAATAGATATTATGGGAAATCTTGAGCTCCTTACCTTACAAGTTGAAAAACTACTCCACACATAGGGAGAACGAGTTTGTAGGGGCTGGAAATGGGCTATCTGGCTTACAGTTTTAGAACAATTAACCAATGGAACAACCTGCCTCCAGAAGCGGTGAATGCTCCAACATGGAAGTTTTTAAGAAGAGACTGGACAGCCATTTGTCCGAAATGATATAAGGTTTCCTGCCTGAGCAGGAGGTTGGACTAGATGACCTCCAAGGTCCCTTCCAACTACTACTACTACTACTACTTCTTCTTCTTCTTCTTCTTCTTCTTCTTCTTCTTCTTCTTCTTCTTCTTCTTCTTCTTCTTCTTCTTCTTCTTCTTCTTCTTCTTCTTCTTCTTCTTCCTCTTCTTCTTCTTATTATTATTATATGCTCCGTTTCTACCCTTGTATTATGTGAACAACATAAAACGGAATACAATTATGCTTTGTGGATGGGGGAGGGGGGCGCTGAGGTAAGTTTTTAATCTCCCAGCATCTGCCTGGACAAATTCCTGTAGTTTACTTGGCAAGATGTTTTGGAAGTGGTTTGCCTACATCAGAGACAGGGTGCCCATCTCGCTTTATGCCCAAGAGGGACTACAACTCACAGTCTCCTGGCTTCCAACCTGTGCCTTAACACCAGGTTAGACCAAACTGGTTCTCTTATGCTTTGTTCTGCTTATTGAACTAAAAGTTGGGAGGAAAATATCCTTATACGACTAAAGCTGCAATACATTTATGGTATCATTTCCTTGAGGCAATGTTGCTATACATTCCTAATTCTCATTTCTAACCTCCTTTCATTTTTATTTATCTTGTATATATTCTGAACTTGGAATTCCATACTGAATGCATCTAATACAGGTAGTCCTCAACTTACAACCATTCTTTTAGTGACTGTTTGAAGTTACAACAGCACTGAAAAAAGTGAATTATGACTGTTTTTCACACTTATTGTAGCATCCCCATGGTCACATGATCAAAATTTGGGCATTGGTAACTGGCATGTATTTATGACAGCTGCACTGTCCCGGAGTCATGTGACCACCATTTGTAACCTTCTCGACCTGCTTCCAACAAGCAAAGTAAATCAACTTACTTAACAACTGTCTTGCTTAGCAGTGGAAATTTTGGGCTCAATTGTGATCCTAAGTCGAGGACTACCTGTAGTATTCTTGGCCTGGCCTGCTTGTTCCATTCCAGATGAAAGTCCCAGTTTATTTATATGAATACATTCAATTGCTGTTCCTAAAACATGTCTATGTTTTTCAAACACACATTCCAGCAGAATTTTCTCCCCACATCCTCCCTCCATTTTGTCTTCTGCTGAACTTAGTTCAGCATACCCGTCAGACCAAGATTACATCTCCTATTCATTTCCATTACTTCGCACGGCAAGCTACCTTGTGATAACACCCTGCAGTTCTGTGCTTCAGCAAAGAACAAAGTCTAGTTTAAGAACTAAGCCTCGCAAATTATAGAGTAGCTCTCTATAGTTTTCATGTTGGAGCCACTTAACTAAAATGCCATACTGTGAAGAGAAAAAAAAAGACTAACTCACATTATTTTCTCCTTCAGTAGCACAGATCTCATAGCAATATGCTAAAAGTATATCAATTAAGCTCAGATAGACTTGCTGGCTGGTTCTTTTATCAAGCAGGAATGACCTGTTAGTGAATTTTCTTAGCTGCTCTTTCTCATCTTCTGTAAAGGAAACTGAAAATAGGATTGTTACTTTAAGGCACAGTACACATAGCTACTCTAAAATATATTTATCCATACCTTCAATTGACAAAGATGGCATTGATGAACATGTTCTCTAAATTCTATAACTATTCTTATCTAAAGTTCAGAATAAAATGCTTAACTTTCTCAGCAGCGGCCCAATTATTCTTTCTCATTCAGAAATAATAGTTAATATTTCTCTTCCCAAAGGAACCCAAATGAGCTTAAAAAAGAGAAGGGCTTTCATAACCATCATAAAAAACTGATTTTTTTAAAAAAATACATTTTAAAAAGAAAACAAAGTTCCTTAAAAAAAGAAAAATAATTCAATTTAAAAGCAGTCTAGTGTTTTTACGCCATAAAAGCTTAGAATGTGGGATAGCTAAACATCCACAATAACTACCTCATACTGGCTAAGATCATATAACACACTAATGTTATTACAATTTATGATTTGTTTGGGCTTAGCTTGGAATGGTGCCTGAAGCCTATTCTTGTAGTTGGCACATTATAGTTTATGACTTAATGTGTTGTGCAAAGCTAGGCAAGTAAAATTTATTCAAACAATTGTTAAACAAATGATAACATAGCATATGTCCAGAAACTAAAAAAAATTGTAATTACCCAATGTTTTTCATAGGAAACATGGTTTTCATTTAAAAGATAATTCTGGACCAGATGTAGCAATAGCATATGCGAATCCATTAGGAATCAGCCCATTTCTAATCTGCAGGTAGCTTGCAGGATCCAATCCGGGTCGGTCACTGGGACCAGTGGTTTTGTATTTCGAGCTTTCAAATTCATGCTGCAGCCCATCCTCAGGGAACTTCTCTCTAGCACTGCTTCAGAGGATCCAAAAGCCAAACTGCCAACTTTGTTCAAAGCGCTAAATTAGGCAGTCCAGATATTTTAAACTTCTGAATAGGCAAATTAACATATACAATACAATTATCCCTGCATGTTTTAGAAGATTTTTTAATACTAATGATGAACGAAAATGACAATGGCTTGCTCTTAAATTATGTTCACTTGTACTTTTTAAAAGAATTCTCAATGTAAAATTTCTGGCAGAATCTAAAAGGAATTCCAGTTTCAACTGTTCAATTGTTTAACTATGAAACTAATCATTTTTCTGCAAAAAAACCAAAAACCAAAACAGACTTTTCAAGCAATTTGCTCAAAGTTCCTTGAGTTATTTTACATAATTATAGAAAACAATCTTTTTACTTTTCCTGAAAAAATATTTATCCCATACTGTGTTTGTAAATATTATTAATTCAGAGTACCTACCTTGACAGTTTTGAAACATACGGTATTGAAAATGATATTTGTGCTTTTGTTATTCTTCCCCTTGTGATTAATAAACTTGCATAATTTTGAAAAACTTGTAAAAAGGTAGATTAAGTCATTTCTTAACACTGCCATTCACTACAACTAATTTTCAGCTAGTAGGCCATAAGCTAGGAGAAGAAATAGACCTGTCAAGAATTTAAACATAACAAAAAGCCCCTTGTCACAATTCTGCTCTGTAAGTGGAACATACAACAAAAGAGAGCTTTACCTTGGAAACATATTTTTCACAATAGGTTCATAAATATATAAAGTGATCTTTAATTCAAAGGAAATGAGTGCTCAAACTTTTTGAAAATGTCATGAGTTTAATTTCTGAAATAGTGTATTCTCACTTTGTTAAACTAAAACATAGATATCAAGGATGCACACTTCAATGCAACATTTTTCTTCTGGACCTTGCTGTTCCAGGAGTGGTCCATTGGTTTCCTGGATTATCAATCCTCTGAACCAGCAGTTATTTTGTTCAAACACGACGTTCTGGATGAAAAAGGACTGTTTGGACTGAATAGCCCTGGAACTCCAGAAAACTGTCTTATCAATCCCCCACAATTGGGCAGATGGGGTCCAGAGCAGGAATGGAATAGTAGATTTTACCCAAATCTATTAAATACAACTACTTTTTGTATATGTTCTGATCCACTGTCATTTTACTCTGGTGACATTGATGCAAATGTTTAGTCCTGAGCTGTTCGTCTCCTGCCCCCTCCCCTTGCAATTTGAAGGTGCCTCTACTTTGCTCAAGTGCAACTAAATCCAGCCAGTAACATCATTTGGAGTGAATCTATGCTGGATCCACTCCAAATCTAGAAACTTATTTTGAATTGGTGAGAACAATTAGTGGAGCTTTTTTTTTTTTGTGATAATGAGGAAGAGAAAAATAAGGGGGAAAGGGGGATTCAAGGAAAATAGTAAAATATATACAGCAATTCATAATCTAGAATAGAATAACAGTGTTGAAAGGGACGTTGGAGATCTTCCAGTCCAACTGTTGGCTCAGGCAGGAAACCCTGGCCTATACCATTTCAGACTTAAAAACTTTTTAAATCTCTCTGCCATTATTGATGCGAAAATCTTATAATCAGCATAAAACTTAAAAACTTCCAGTGCTAAAGCATTCACAACTTCTGGAGGCAAATTGTTTCACTGATTAATTGTTCTAACTGTCGGGAAATTTCTTTAGTCTTCTACTGTAGCTTGCTTCTCTCCTTGATTAGTTTCCATCCATTGCTTCTTGCCCTGTCTTCAGGTGCTTTGGAGAATAGCTTGATTCCCTCTTCTTTGTGGCAATCCCTGACATATTGGAACAGTGCTATCATATCACCCCTAATCCTTCTCTTCATTAAGCTAGACATACTCAATTCCAGTAATCATTCTTTATATGTTTTAGCCTCCAGTTCCCTGATCATCTTTTTGCTCTTTTCTGTACTCTTTCTAGAGTCTCAACATCTTTTTTACATCGTGGTGACCAAAACTGGATGCAATATTCCAAGTGTGGCCTTACCACGTTATAAAGTAATAATGCTTCACATGATCTTGATTCTATCCCTTTGTTAATGCAGCCTAGAATTGTGTTGGCTTTTTTGGCAGCTGCAGCATACTGCTGGCTGTAAATCATTTTCTTAATTTTTATAGACCAAGAATGGGTGATATTTGGTGTATCACGGCCACAGCCTTGCTTCTCAACCTTCTGGAGAACTCACAGAAAAAACATAACCATAGCTTTGTTCATTAGGCTACACTGATCCTTTAATTTTCTGCCAAAATTTACCCACTACCAAAAATTATCTATGTTTACAAAGGATGCTTGGAATCAGAAAATATGGGGAGGAAGGAACAGGGCATGCATGCAGTCCATAGACCAGGGTGTCAAACTGGCGGCCCGCGGGCTGGCTACGTCACGTGCAGGCCACGCTCACCCCAGCTCAGCAAAGGCAAAAAAAGTCACAATACGTCATATGACACAATTGAGTTTGACACCTGTGCTATAGGCTATCCATTCATTATTGATATATATCAGAAAAGCTGAAATATTGTCAAGTAAATTTCCAGCCCTTAGAAAAAACAACTGAGTTGTAGAGAGAGTTCCTTTTACAACTGTGGGAGACCTATTCTGTCAAGTAGCACAGACAAGAGGGATTTATATAAGCTGTAGAAGTACAATCCTAGCAAGTGAGGATTGATTGCACTTACTCCATGAAGTGCTTTCTTGAGCATTCATCATCAACTCGTAGGCGTTCACCCACCAGGGCTTATAGTTCAACAGATGGTGAATAGCTTCATCTTCAAAAAAATCAGCTCTGGAAAGATAGAAAAGCTTATGAATTATACAATACATGAATTTGATATTAGGAATGTACATATGTAGTCACAGTAATCCTATCTTACAGGCATCTCAGCCACCTACATCAGCTTTAAACTCTTAAAGAATACAATTTCAATACAAGCAGAGATTTCAGGATATCAACCTAACTATGAGAGAGATTAATAACTGTTTAAAATAGTCATCATTTTGGTGCACTTAACAGCATAGCTGAAATGGTATACTTCAATATATGCATATTAGTATTCCAATATTCGTTCATGATCTATAAAAATTAGAATTAGTTTTATTCTGAACAATCCATTTTGAGAAAGCAGCCACTGAAGATTAAAGAATAGCAGCAGACAAGTTATATTGGGAAACATATATACACATGTAGGTGTCTATACACAAAAATTCATGTTCATGTAGCCTGACTCTCACATACCAAGATCTCTGAAATCTCCTGTTGTACTTCTTTTTTTTTACTGAAATTTATGTGAACTATTACGGTGTACATGTTTTATAAAACAATAAACACCACATCATTTTAGTCTTTTGAAAAGTTTATGCAAACCTATGCTTTTTCCAGGGTTAGGAAGTGCTGCATCTGCAACAGAGATTTTTATTTATTTTTTTTAAATTAAGTGGTCTGGAAAGCTTACAAGCAAAGTGCTAGTCTACAGCCATCTGCCTTTCTTATTCTTCAAAACATTTTACTGGCCCACCTGAGGTTTTTAGTCAATATTTGGAACTTGAGCAATTTCAAGGAAACGTATTATACCAGTAACTCATGACTTTAGCAGCACAAATATCTAACTAAATTAATCCATGCTAATCAAACAGGATTACTTCATCATAGATAAGGGGGATAAAGTAAAAATGTTAATCAGTCCTGTAGCTTTTGATCAAGCTAAGGTAGATCCTGCTGTAATTATTTCATTAAGAATAGCAAAACCCTTTAAATTAAATTTACTGGGGAAATTTTTTTTTTCATTTTTTCCTCAGTAATTCTTAAAATGGATTATATCTGTCTTCAAAGTTGCAAATGCGAACTAGTGGGATTTTGTTTAACACCTTTTTATTGGACCAGGGTTGGGCCTCCCCCCCCCAGCCATTTAATTTGGAACTTCAAGATACAGACATGGCTAAAAGACTGGTACCCCTCTACTTTCTCCCAAAGAATCCCAACTTTTTTATTTATTTTTCACAATTTTGAACCCCTATCTTCCTCAAAGAGGGACTCTGGGTGGTATACAATACAATGTTAAAAATATAATACAGTATATTTTTATCCCAGATTGGATCCTGCAACATTATCCTGGGACACATATGTTTGCCTTCATTCATAAAAAGTATATATAAAAGTTAAAAAATTAAAAAGGGGAAAGAGTGATTAAGCACTATGAAAATTAGTTAAAAGGCTATGTGGTCCTCTGGATTCCACATGCAAGACAGCACAGCTATGCTTTAACTCTTTTTGGCAGGCCAGAAAGGGGGGGGGGGCTGTCTCACCTCAGGGGGAAGAATATTCCAGAGTGGGGGCAATGGCAAAGAAGCTCTCTTCCTAGATATTGAATTTTGCAGAAATAGATTGAAATGGATATAAATAAATGATATTCACCACTCTTTATTCCATAGAGCAGGCACTTTGCTTTTTTTTTATTTTTCTTTTTTTTTTTCTTAGCAACATTCCTCAAGTTCTTTATTAGAAAAATAAAAAACAATACAAAAACAAAAAACAACATATACAAATAAAAAACAAACATTACCCAACAAAACCCCCCTTCCCCCACCCCTACCCAAACCCCCCTTCCCCCCCCCAGGACCTCCCAGAGCAGAATATAGGCTTAATTAAAGAAAAAGTTAAAAAAAATTATAAAAAAAGAATATAAAATAGAAAATATATATATATATAAAGTTAAAAATTATGAAAAAACTATATAATATTTTTATATCAAATTTAAATTGTATGAATTTTATCCATTTATCCCAAACAGCAAGAAATTTCTCTTGCGTTTGTCCCTTTAAGAAAGCCGAAATCTTTGCCATTTCCGCCAAATGAGACACTTTAAGAAACCATTCCTGCAATGTAGGCAAAGATTCCTTCTTCCAATATTGTCCTACTAACAGCCTCGCAGCTGTTATCAAGTTTAACATCAATATAACCTCCTTTGTGTCACAATCAGTAACTATACCTAACAAAAATAATTGTGGAGTAAATTTTACCCTCCTTTTAAAAATTCTCTGGATATTCCACCATATCTTAATCCAGAATGCTTTTATCTCTCTGCACGACCACCAAATATGATAATAAGTAGCATCCATACAACCACATCTCCAACATTTAGGTTGTAAGTCAGGGTACATAAAAGACATTTTTTGTGGATCAAGGTGCCATCTATAAAACATTTTATAAAAATTCTCCCTTAAGTTCTGTGCTTGTGTAAATTTGACATTTCTCACCCAAATAATTTCCCAGGTGTCCAATGGAACTGGCTCACCAAAATTCTGCGCCCATCTAATCATACAATCTTTAATTAGTTCCGTTTCTGAATCCAATTCAACTAAAACCCCATAGATCCTCTTAATGTGGGTTTGTCTTTGATCCTTCACTTGCTTAATAAGATTTTCATCTTCTCTGTAAAAACCCACCTTACAGTCCATCTTCCATCTATCTGATAATTGCCTATATTGGAACCAAGAATAAATAATATTTTCTTGTGCTAACTCTTCCCGTAATTTTAACTGCCAGTTTTGTACTTTGCTTTTGATGTATTTACATACTCACGTAAATAATAAAATAAGTGAAAATAGCATGGACATGATTATTGGTACACCTTGAAAGTTAAAAAACACAATTGGATTTTAGTGAGCTCTCCAGCTGAATCTTTAATTAGCATCACTGGTGCCTTGAATCGCATAATCAGTCAGCATATTTGAATGAAGAAAAATGAATCTGCCATTGTCTGCGGCATAGTGAATGTGGAGAAGAGAAAGAAAAGCAGAGAGTTGTCTGAGGAGGAAAGGAAGAAAGTAGTAGCCAAGCAAGGTAAAGGCAAAGGGTACAAAACCAATGTAGAGTGCACAGGAAATGGCCTTAAGGGACAGGAAGAAGAGTTTCTACCAAAAGAATAGTCAGACGAAAGAGAACTAAGCCAAGGGCAGGAATATAAGTTGAATAAATGCCTTGGACAAGACCTTCCTTAGTTCTCCTGAAGATAAAAGGATGGAAGGGGAAAGTACATTTAGACTTGAAAGATTCTTTTACAGAATTATATCTTTCCAATAAAAATAGTATCGACGTCTATGACACTGGATACCTACTTTGGTCTATCTTGAAGATAACTATTTCCAAAAAGTGACCAAGTTTGCTAATATTACCAAGAAATTTAAGGTCCATGGGACTGTAGCCAATTTCCTTGAATAAGGCTGCAAGAAGAAAACTGATTCCAGACTGAGGAGAAGGATAGTTCGAATAGTGGAGAAAGAATCAACGAAAACTTCAGAACAGATTCTGGCTGACTTCTACGATCAAGTTACAACAAATATCAAGTTACACAATCTGTCACAGTTTACTGAAAGTAGCCTCCATGGTGGAAAACCCTCTTTTGAAAGACAGACACAAAAAAATGACGTCTTAAAGAAAAAAATGCCATCCCTACTATCAAACATGGAGGAAGCTTCATAATGTCACAGGTTGCTTTTATGCCTCTGGCACTTCAATCTATGGAGGGTAGAATGAAATCAGAAGATTATTCAAGGTGTTCTAGAGTGAAACATAATCCCCAGTTAGAAAGCTCTGACTTAGTGGCAAGTCATAGGTCTCCCAGAAGGATAGTGACCTGAAACTTTATCTAAGAAAACCCAAGAATCACTGAAAAGCAAACATTCTGAAGTGGCTTGCTATGTATGAATCCTGATTTAAATCCAATAGAACACCTATGAAAAGAGATGAGTGTCACAGCTGGGAGAAAGAAACAACTGGAGCAGTTTGCTCAAGAAGAGTGGGACAAACTGCTCCACCTGAGAAGTATAGGTGTCTTATCCAGAGTATAGAAAACATTTGATTGTCATTAATTTTTGGAAAAGATGCACTACAAAATATTAGGTTAGGAATACAGGTAATCCTTGACTTACGACCACAAATTTCTGTTGCCCCGTTTCACAGCCTTTCTTGCCACAGTTGTTAAGGCAGGGGTTCCCAACTGGGGGTGCGAGACAATATTTCAGGGAGTATGAAAACTTGGGTTTAGAAGTTTCAAAATTATAGTGTATATGCATAATTCATTTTGAACTTTTGTAAGGGGTGCGAGAATATATCAGAAGCGTTCTAGGGGTGCAGGGTATAGAAAAGGTTGGGAACCGCTATGTTAAGGGAATCACTGCAGTTGTTAAGTTAGTAACACAGTTGTTAAGTGGATCTTGCTTCCCCATTGACTTTGCTAATCAGAAGGTCACAAAAACTGATCACATAACCACCACCACCACCAGGACACCGTAACCATCATAAATATAAGTCAATTGCTAAGCATTTGAATTTTGATTACGTAATCATGGGGATGTTGCCACGGTTGCAAGTATAAAAAAGTCACTTTTTTCAGTGCTGTTGTAACTTTAAATGGTCACTAAACAAACTGTTGTATGTTGAGGGCTACCTGTACTGATTAATTATGTCCATGTCATTTACATTTGTTTTATTTACAAAAATATGTAAATTGCCTGCTCTGTGTATTATAGAATAAAGAATAGTAGATACTATTTACTTGTATTAATTTTAATTTATTTCATGGATAGAGAGGATTTAAATCCAATTGCACGGTACAATGATCCTAAACTATTTATTACCAGAACACATAAGCAGGGATAAACGTACAGGTAATGATCAGGATCAAATTTAGCAGCTTCTGCTGCAAGTCGTTTTTCTCTGCGTTCAGAGGCAGGTGTTATGTCTGGATTTTTAACATCAACAACTTCATTAAGTTCATCCTGTAAGGAAAAGAACAAATAAATTAACAATCACTGACTTAAAAAGAAAAGCAAAAAATACATTGTATAGAGTTTAGAAAGTTGTACATCAAGATAATGAAGATACTTTGGAGGAATCATTATGAGCTGTGGTGACGCAGTGGTTAGAATGCAGTACTGTGGGCTACTTCTGCTGACGGTCAGCTGCTTGTAGTTTGGCAGTTTAATTCTTATTGGCTCAAAGTTGATTTAACCTTCCATCCTTCTGAGGTCAGTAAAATGAGGACCCAGATTGTTGGGGGCAATATGCTGACTCTGTAAACTGCTTAGAGAGGGCTGTAAAGCACTGTGAAGCAGTATATAACTTTAAGGGCTATTGCTATACATTCTAAAGAATTCTTCATGAAAAGCAGTCAAATATTCTAAAACACAAAGAGCTGAATGATAGCAAGAACACATCTATCACATCTATCAATCACCTGTACTCTTCTGGGCAACAAGAAACTTCACACTAGTCCTAGGACATTTCACTTAATCACTGTGTGATCAATAAATTAGCCTCCAATTGCAAGTGAATACATTACTTTCCATGCCTCACTAATCAAGGATTAGGTTATCTTATTTTTTTTAAGTGTATGTATATACATATAACTATTATTTGAGTTTAGATCATAAGCAGGGCATTCCTCTCTCATGTGACTGATAAAAGAGAATAAACCAGACTATTTTGTTTAATTTAAAACCTAGATGCTGAATTGTGAATAGACCCATACTTTACTAAACAAGGATTAAATAAGCCACAATTGCAAATGCTAAGCTGTAAATCGATAGGTCTTGGCACCTGCTAAGATTTCCTTTGTTACTTGATTTTAACATTTGAATATTTTGAATCACAAAAAGGGGAAGTGAGCAGACGGATGGGGGAAAAAAGCAGCAACCTCTAATATCATCTTTAATTCAAATGATTCTAGAGCTCAGATGGCCATAGGCATTTTTAGAAAATAATAATGCTTTGCTTGGAACTGTTCTCCTCTGCCTAGGAAAAAAGGGGAGGGGCAGAGAGAATCAGTGCTAGTAAGAAACACTCTAGAAAGCTATAAAGCCGCAGGGAGAAACCTTATCATTTTCTCTTATGACTGGCACACAAGGATAACCTTTGCTGGAAAGGGGCAAGCCGATACCAAGGTGGCCATTTGGTGACAGTCCATTTAAAATTCCAAATGGGCCAAGTGAATCTTGGCTGTGAATCTCTGGGCCGGTTATTCTCAGGTGGTCATCCTTAGAGGGGCTGTTAGTTTGCTTCGTGGTTGGTCTTGCTGCTTTTCCCTGCTTCAGATTTCATCCCTCCTCCTGATTATATCTCCAATTTTATTTTATTTTATTTTAAATTAAATTTATATATCACCCAAATGATTCTCCATGATTCTGGGTGGTTCCTCCCCTCCTTTCAATTAGGAGAAATAGAACATCAACAAATACCAACAGACACACAAAAGCCACTGAAATAAATACAATTTGAGAACATATGTGAATATATTGATAATCATGATCAATACAAATATTTTAAAGACATATTGTTTCTATTTTAGCACAAAAGAAATTTGTGCAGATGAAAGGAATTTTTTAGAAACTGTTAACATGGTTAAAAGGAGAACAATGAAAAAAAGCTTTAACAGATTCTTCAAGATATTTTGCTACTGTGCTGATTTTTTAAAGCAGTTTCCCACATTTTAAAATCAGTGAACATTGCAAAACATTAAATTGGCTTGCAAAACCCTTGCAAAACATTAAATTGGCTCCCCAGAAGGTGGCATCCTTCTGCCAGGCTAAGTAATGGCAACCACATACTTCCACACTGTTAACAATACAACTGTATAGCCACAGTTGCGTAGTTATCTGCCATCTGACAGTTAAAAAAAAAATCTTGTATCACAGTTTATAGGAAATAAACCTACACTAACTGCAAGAGAGTACCCATTATTTTTGTTTACAATTTCCTCAAAAAACTTTGACCCTAGTGTCTAAAATTAGCATTGCTAATTGATGGCAATACATACAAATCTGATTATAATCTTTCCAGCACAATCTAAAAAGTCCGTAATTAATATAATGTAATTCTAAAGGCACATAGTATCATCTATGAATCATAGTCAATTCTTAATGGCATGCTAAATGGATTTAAAAGGATCGTTATGCCATAAAAGCTGACTCATCAGGTTCAGATTTCAAGTCTCTTTCTCTATTTATTAAATAGCCTATTGCATTTATTATAGAAGCTTGGTATAATATTGAAAAGATTTTGGTTTAAAACGATGTGGCCATACACATTTATCCAATGCTGTTAACTCTCCCCTTGTCTAGAGTTCTTTACATATTTATAAAAACAATAGTCATGATAAAAAAAAATTGTTACAATTATTGCTGCAATTTGGCAGCACAATAAACTATTTTAGACTGACAGGTAGAGTAGAGTAGAGCTGAAATGGACTTTGGAGGTCTTCTAGTCCAACCCCCTGCTCAAGCAGAACCGATACCAGTGATGGCGAACCTTTTAGAGTGCCCCAAAACCGCCGCCTGCCCGCAGTGCCACCCACTGCCTCCACGGCCCACCACAGCAGATTGCCATGGCAGCACCATGGTGGCCAGCAGCACCATGGTGGCCACACCCTCCGCCCGTGCCCTGCATCATCTGCGTACGATGGGGCATGAGGGCGGAGTCTTATTAAAGTCTGCCCGGCTGCTATGTCCTTGGCTGTGCTGCTCCACGTGGGCTGCGCCCGGGGGCAACTCTTCTTCAGGGAGCTGCTGGTGAGGAGAGAGCCGTGGGGAGAGGCAGGGCTAGAGCGATGGCACGCGTGCCCACAGAGAGGGCTCTGAGTGCTGCCTCTGGCACCACTGACCTATACCATCTCAGACAAGTGACTACCTAGTCTCTTCTTAAAAATCTCCCGTGATGGAGTGCCACGATTTCTGGAGGCAAGCTGTTCCACTGGTTAATTGTCTTCACTGTCAGGAAGTTTCTCCTTAATTCCAGGTTGCTTCTCTCCCTGATCAGTTTCCAACCATTGTTTCTCATCCTTCCCTCTGGTGCTTTGGTGAATAACGTGACCCTCTCTTCTTTGTAGCAGCCTCTCTAATACCGGAATATCTCCCCTATTTCTTCTTTTCTTTAGAAAAGAAGTCCCAAGTCCCACAGCCGTTCTTCCTATGTTTTAGTCTCCAGGTCTTTGATCATCTCAGTTGCTCTTCTCTGATTTTTTTCCAAACTCTCAACATCTTTTTTGTGGTATGGTGACCAAAATTGGCTGCAATATTCCAGGTGTGGTCTTACTATGGTTTTACAAAGTGGTACTAATACTTCATGTGAACTTGATTGTATGCCTCTCTTTATACAACCCAGGACTGCATTAGCTTTTTTGGTTGCTGCTGCACACTGCTGGCTCATAGTCAAGTGATCGTCCACTAGGACTCCAAGGTCCCTCTCACAATTGCTGTTTTTGAGCCAGGTCTTGCCCTAATAGAACTAAGCTTATATAGCTGCTTGCTTATAGCTAAGATCTATTAACAACCTAATGGAATTTCAGACCAAAGCAACACAAAGAAATCAGAATAATCCCAAGACTAAAATGCAAAGTCCAACATGTACTCTGAGATGGATCGACTTCAGTGCAGTACCAACTTACAAAAGTAAAACTGAGAATTTTATAAAATTCAGCTAGGTACTCATATAGTACAATACTTAAAATAAATATTGCAAAGGACCACCAAATACTTCAGAGTGTAAGAACTGACAAACTTCATAAAATATTGCAGGGCCATTTCCAAATTTAGACAAAAACTCATAACAAACATAACGATTAACACGGCATCTGACTAGCTAGTCCAGATAGATTAATGGTCGACTAATGCTGGGTATGAAGCTATATATTTGTAGTCTAAAAACACAGCTTACGATGCATATGTAATTATACATATATAATTATATGTATATGTAATTATAAACAAAGTGAATACTCCATAAGCCACAATTATTTACTACAGCAGAAATTATTTTGTTACAGTTCTATAGTACAAAAGGAGAAACTCCTAAAGAGAAGATGAAATCAGTGAATTGATTAGTTACCTTTTAACAGTTAATAATTTTCTTCAACTCTAGTGACTGTTCAGTCCTTAGCATACTGATATTTCGCTAATATCAATGCATGACTAACTGCAAAGGAGGCAACAGTGTCCCTTGGAAGCTATAATGCTTTACTATAAGGATTCACATCACACAACCATATGACATTTGCTTTTTGATAAAAATAATAATTAATTTCTTCTCCTAAGCCTGTGTTTTCTTGTTCATGTGCTAGTTGTATCATTTTGTCTGGGACTCAGGCTTTGAAGAATACATCTATAAAGAATACATCTGTGGCCTCTTTAAACTTATCTTCACATTATTTAAGAAAACGTATTAAAGCACATGTCTAAACATAGAGATGTATGGATGTAGGAAATGTCATAATGGATAAAGCAAAATGGTTCATTCATTACTGACGTTTTCCTTTCTATGTTTTATCTTTTTCAAATATGTGTCTACTTTTTCTCTTCAGTTATACAGAAATATCTTTCTTAAAAACAAACCAGTAGAAAGTCTGCCTTCCTCAAGCAATATGTTTAAGGTTTACAACTTACACCTTTTTCATATAAACAGCATGATATGGGGTGAAAAATCTCTTTTTCCTCATACTGTTTTCCATTAAAGGAAAGCTACTTTAGACCACAAAACGCCATAATATGGAAAATTATGAAAAAGGAATTTTATTAAACTCATGAAGCAAGTGAATATTGTCATGGGGCTTTAAACACTTCTGTAGAAATTCCAAACAAATTGTGATTGCATAAATTTTCCCATAAATGCAAAGTAATCATTACAAATATACATGTCATATACCCGTAGTCATCTCTTAATGATCCCAGTTAAGACCAGAATTTCTTAACCACATGACCAGAAGCGATGTCGTAAAGAGAAACATCATGTGTCCTGGACTGCTTAGCAATGGCAATTGTAATAGGCATAGTTATAGTCATTAGACCCAGACTGTGTCATCATTAGGCCAGGACTTCACACTTTTCCTGCCCTGCTGCACTCGCTTCCACCTTTAATGGAAGAGACAATTAACCAATGGAACAACCTGCCTCCAGAAGCTGTGAATGCTCCAACACTGGAAATTTTTACGAAGAGACTGGACAGCCATTTGTCTGAAATGGTATAGGGTTTCCTGCCTGAGCAGGGGATTGGACTAGATGACCTCCAACTTTATTATTTATTTTATTATTATTGTTGTTATTATTATGGATTTATATGATTTTATTTTTAAAAAATGGTTTGCGGACTCTTGTTTCTGTATTAACATGCATTGGAAGTGAAGAACTTTTAATTATTTGAATAAAACAGTAATAATAATAATAACAACAACAACAACAGTAGTAGTAAAGTTGGAAGGGACCTTGGAAGTCATCAAGTCCAACCCCCTGCTCAGGCAGGTAACCCTATACCGTTTCAGGTAACCCTATACCGTAACCCTATGTCCAGTTTCTTCTTAAAAACTTCCAGTGTTGGAGCATTCACCGCTTCTGGAGGCAGGTTGTTTCACTGCTTAATTGTTCTCACTGCCAGGAAGTTTCTCCTTAGTTCTAGTTTGCTTCTCTCTTCGGTTAGTTTCCACCCGTTGCTTCCTGTCCTGCCTTCAGGCGTTTTGGAGAATAGCTTGACTCCCTCTTCTTTGTGGCAGCCCTGAGATATTGGAACACTGCTATCATGTCCCCCCTCGTCCTTCTCTTTGTTAAACTAGACATATCCAATTCCAGTAACCGCTCCTTATATGTTTTAGCCTCCAGTCCCCTAATCATCTTTGTTGCTCTTCTCTGTATTCTTTCTAGAGTCTCAATATCTTTTTTACATCGTGGTGACCAAAACTGGATGCAGTATTCCAAGTGTGCCCTTACCAAGGCATTGTAAAATGGTATTAATACTTCACGTGCTGCTTCTTGCTGGTAAACCTATTGGAAGATGCCTTTTAGCATATTAAGAAATAGCTTGTTCTCACATTTTATTGAATAGAGTGATAAATTCTATTATGGATTGGATGTTAAGTAAAATAAGCCAGATGCATGCTTCACTGTCTGTCCTACCTTCTCTCCATGATTTCTTTGGAGTCATATTTCCCACTTCTACCTAGAGGTATTAAGAGCTGAGCTTAGAATCTTTTAAATCTGCTTTATTACTGAGTTGTGTTCCTTTTCTGCTGCTATCCATACAGTTCTGGTTACTAAATTATCTTCCATCTGTGATCTAAATTCAGGATATCATTTTCCCACCATCTGCCTATTTCCCGTCTCCCATCTCTGTCCTATTGGCTGGAGTGCACACACAAAGGGCCAGTAGCTGCCTGAAGCAGGCAGGCATATTTCCCCAGAAGTGGAGGAAGAAAACAGTGAAGATCAATTGGAGGGGAGAGAGAGAGGGACTAAGTCAGTGGTTCTCAACCTGTGGGTCGGGACCCCATTTGGGGTCGAACGACCATTTCACGGGGGTCGCCAAACAACGCAGTCCGCCATTTTTTTCCCCTTTTCCTTAGCTGTGCTACTCCCTTTTATTCTATTGGCTTTTGAAAGCCAATAGAATAGACTCTCTTGAATAGAGTCTAATTCTATTGGCTTTCAAAAGCCAATAGGAATTGTCCAGGCTGTCTCTGCCCTGCTGAGCCCGCCAAAAGTCCCATTCTGCAAACGGTGCTGCAAGTTGTCTGCAGCGAAGGGGAGCTGTCTGGAAGTTTCCACCCCTCCCTGCTGAGCAACTACTAAAAATGTAAGTAAAAGAGGGCCAGGGGTGGGAGGCCGGCAGGCTCAGGAAGGGTCGCTGGCGCGCGTGGGGCCCGGCAGGTGCCATACCTCCCTTGGGCTGGGCCAGCTGGTGGCCCAGCTGGTGGTCGGCCTGCGCCGTCTTTGCCGCTTGCCAGCTACGCCTCGGCCGGCGCAAGGGGCGGCACCACGCATGCGCGGCGCTCCTGGGCAGGGAAAGTCCTCGACTTACGACCGGTTGAGTAGTCCTCGACTTACGACCGGTTGGGTAGTCCTCGACTTACGACCGGTTGGGGGTCACTGCATTAAAAAGGTTGAGAACCACTGGACTAAGTAACGGCAATCATAGGACATTCCAAAAGGGCAGAGGTGAGGGGAGACGGGCAGGGGGCAAGAAGTTAAAGCACATGCTGCAGTTGGAAATGCAGGTGGGCCATCAAGAGCCTGAATGTTGATCACTTGACCACAGTGGCACTGCAATCACCGCCACTTCAAGAACCGTTCGCTCAGTGGCATCTTAACTTTCACTGATTACTGAAATGGGCGTTAAATGAGGACTACCTGTATTGCATATACACATCTCAAATAATTTTATTGTAATGATAATTTTTCATCATAAATATATTAGCAGACTTCATAAAATTCTTAATTTTACAATTATCAGGTTGGGTCCAAACTACTGTTATGCTCAGAACTATTGACATTGATCATGCTTGCAGTAGACTGATTGAAAACAGTAAGATAATTTATTTATCATTAAGTCAGACAATTACATAATATAGATCACCAACAGATACACTGCATTCTTTCTAAACCATTATGGAATTAAGGCTTATTTATTCAGTGAAGCTCATGTTCCATCTTTCTAAGCATTTCTTTCTCTCCATTTTAAGATTCAAAGATTATAAAAAGTTTCTTTTCAGGCCCAGCCCAAGAACAACATCAAACAATTCAATTAAAGTTCAGTTTTGCTCATACCATAAAAACAAAATCTTGCCAGACTAAACCGCTATTACTCTCACCCTAACATATATACCCTGAGAGATTCTAGGACAGTGTTTCTCAACCTTGACAATTTTACGGCATGTGGACTTCAATTCCCAGAATTCCACAGCCAGCATTGCTGGCTGTGGAATTCTGGGAGCTGAAGTCCACATGCCTTAAAATTGTCAAGGTTGAGAAACACGTTCTAGGAAGTAGCTATCCTAAACTTCTTCCTCTGTTTCCTATTCAGCTCTGGACTATGCTATCTCTTGTCTTACCCCCTCCTTGGAATATGCTCCTCCCTCCTTCCTGGGAAACTGCTGCTTCAATGTTGTCCATTATACCCCCTTTGTAGATACATTTCATCACATTCAATATGAGTCAACTTCTATTTCCTACTGACTTCTAATACCATTTAAAAAAAAAAAATTGAAAAGATTTAAACAACCTTTTAGACCAGTGGTTCTCAACCTTTTTAATGCCGCGACCCCCAATCGGTCGTAAGTCGAGGACTACTCAACCGGTCGTAAGTCAAGGACTACTCATCTGGTGCAGCACCGTTTGCAGAATGGGACTTTTGGCGGGCTCAGCAGGGCAGAGACAGCCTGGACAATTCCTATTGGCTTTTGAAAGCCAATAGAATTAGACTCTATTCAAGAGAGTCTATTCTATTGGCTTTCAAAAGCCAATAGAATAAAAGGGAGTAGCACAGCTAAGGAAAGGGGGAAAAAAATGGCGGACTGCGTTGTTTGGCGACCCCCGTGAAATGGTCGTTCGACCCCAAATGGGGTCCCGACCCACAGGTTGAGAACCACTGTTTTAGACATCTTGGCTTATATAGCAGATACATCTAATTTCAAGAATACGGCTCCAGGGGAATATTTTACATTTATATTACTCAGCATTTTTTCAGCTGTTACTGTTGTTCTATGATATATGAAAAATACATTTCTGATTACTAAGTATCTGTGTTTATTTAATGCTCCCACTTACCTGGAGACGTCGAAAAACTCCTGATTTCTGACTTCCAAATCCATAGGTATTCGATGGACACAAGGAATCCTCTGTGTAATCTTTCTGAAGAGTTTGTTCTATTTCCCAGTCAAATTCCTCCTCCTCCTCCATGTTCTCCTCATCTGGAGCACCTGAACAAGCATTGCCATCAAACGTTACAGCAATATCAAACTTTTGTATCATTTAGAATATATTATATGAAATTCCACCTAAAAATATCTTTATTGAATTAACAATTCTCTTAAAACAGAGGTAGGCAACCTTGGCTCTTTTATGACTCGTGGACTTCAACTCCCAGAATTCCTTAGCCAGCATAGCCAAGGTTGCCTACCCGTCTTAAAAAATTCCAAAAGAATCAGGATATGATTTACATTGTTTTTTAGACTAAGCCCATAAGCTCAGGATCAAGATTTCAGCCAGCGTCAAAATAAATCAATGTAAAAAAAAAAAAAAGAAACCAGCCAGTCAACTCAAAAATACTTCATAGTAACTCAAAAAGACATGATGAAAAAGCTCACAACTTACCAGATATATATGATCTGGCTAATATTTCTCTTCCTTATAATTTTTAAATTACAGAACAAAAATTCTACATGTGAAACGATAAGGACCTTATCTTAAAGTCTAGTTTAAAGTCCATTCTGAGGGCAGGCTTTCCCCAATCCCGATTTACCCTGTCCTCAGCCTTTCTAAAAGACTGGCTGCCAAACATAATTGTGAGAGACTTCCTGGCTTTTAAATCTCCTTATGGATACTTATGGCTAATCGTTAGGCTAACTGTATTTTAGCCTGGGATGCCTGTATGATTCAGTGTTTTTAGCTGTTTTTAATGTTCTTCCTAGTTTTCTACATTGCCTAGTGTACATAGATGTTGGGTGACCAATACATTATCCTATTATCTATTCCTTATCTTCTTATCACTATAACTTTTTTGCTTGTATTTTATGATTTATATTGTTTATTCAGTATCCTAGTATGATTTAATTAGTATCCTATGACCATCACTGGGTGTTGTATCTTGTGATTTATGATGAATGCATTTTATGATTATAATCAGGAGTTATTACTTGTTGCTTGTATGTACACTGACAGCTTATGCACGAAACAAATTCCTTGTGTGTCCAATCACACTTCGTCAATAAAGAATTCTGTTCTGTTCTTATCTATATATATATTTTTTAAAAAAGTGCCTAAACCACTAATGTTGCTTACTTGGGTTTAGAACAGTGGTTCTCAACCTTTCTAATGCCGCGACCCCATAATACAGTTCCCCAAGTTGTGGTGACCCCCAACCACTTATACATCACCGGGTGCCAGAGGAGTGGCCAAAGAAAAGGGGAAAAAAATGGTGGACAGCCTTGTTTGGCGACCCCCGTGAAATGGTCGTTCGACCCCAAATGGGGTCCTGACCCACAGGTTGAGAACCACTGGTTTAGAATAATGTCATGTGTCAACTGATATGCTTTCCTTAACAAATAATGGTGAAATCAAACCATGGCTTAATAGATCTGCAATTGTAGCCTCTCACAATTCTCCACCAACTTGTTGGAAAGCTATTTCCAAGGACAGTTTATTGTATTAGTTTTAGCTCTTCACATTTCCCAAAAAGAGCAAAGCGATATCCTGAATTTAGTTCACAGATGGAAGATATTCAGTAACCAGAACTGTAGAGAGAGCAACAGAAAAGGATCACAATTCAGTAGTAGAGCAGATTTGAAAGATTCTAAGCTCAGCTCTTAATACCTCTAGGTAGAAGTGGGAAATATGATTCCAAGAAACCATGGAGAGAAGATAGGACAGAGTGTGAAGCAGGAATCTGACTTCTTTTACTTAACATCCAATCCATAATAGAATTTATCACTTTATTCAATAAAATGAGAAAATAAACAATTTCTTTAGATGCTAAAAGGCATCTTCCAATAGATTCATCAGCTAGCATTACCATTTTATTCAAATCATTAAAAGTTAACTTACAAAACATCCTTACCTCCAATGCATGTTACGCAGAGAAACAAGAGCCCACAAACCATTTTTTAAAAATAAAATCATACAAACCCATCTCTTCCACTAAAGGTTTAGCTGATCGGGATTTCTTTGGTGCTAACAGAGCGGTCAACATATCTAGGCCATCAAATTTTTCTCCAGGAGTCTCTTTGGGAAGGTGGATTGTAAACATCCCTGGAAATAAAAGGATTTAATCAGCCAAGGGCATTTTTTTTCCAAAATGCTTCAGTTAGATTTCTTATGTATCTACTTCTTAAATGTATATCTTGCCTTTCATTCAGGAGCACAAGGCTGCATTCATAATGTCCCCTCCTCTGCTTTTTCCATTTTCTATAGAAGTGTGCATCAGGGAAAATGGGATTGGATTACTTCTTACATTACCACACATTCCTTCAAAAACTACATTAGAGGGCTGAGGAATCCCTGAAGGCAAATTCTAATCAAGTAAAATAGCTGTAGAGATGTATATGGTAATGAAAAAGCCCAACTGTAAATGTAGACTTCCATTTACATAATATAAATTAGCTTTTTTTGGATTTGGTACAACAAATAAAACCTTCAACCTGCTTGGCTCAGCTTGGTTCTCTTTTCTTCCATGTGTTAAGGGAAAAATCAGGAAATCCTCTTTCCCTTCATTTATTATTCACCCAGAATGTTCAGAAAAAAGAAGCAAATGGGTGCACCAGCAATTCAAGTTTCTTTTTGAATAGGGTATGAAGTTATTTTGGTGAAAAGAAATTTGTAACATGGGAATCTTCCTTATCCTCTGCCTAGTGGCCATAAATCATTTTAAATGTGTTGTTTATCTCTCTGCAGAAAGGCATTTTAAATCAAGGACCTGCCAGAAACCAAGATGACATGATATAGCTTTGAATTATTGGTGGAATCGGAAGTAAATATATGCTGCTGCAATATATCTATATATGAAAATATTTGCAAAGCAAACCTGAATCATCATATGATGCTTTCTCTCTTCCATCTTCTACAACTCTTCCAGGAAGTGTTAATCTGTAAAAGGAAAAAAAAACAAATACTTTATTTAATATATATTATTAATATAAGAAAGATGAGCTAGCAATGTTCAGATGTAACAATTTGAAAAATCAAATTACACAGACTCTACAATGTGAAGCAAGTCCAAATAGTAAGTTATATAAAGAGATGGTAAGCGGAAAAGAGAATATGATTGTGAGTGGACAATTACTAATATTACGTTTATCAGGAATGTCTGAATAATCACCATGTCTTTGGTAGAGTTGTGAATGGAACATGCTGAAAACCCATCAGACTTCAGCTACTGTTCAATTTTTTGTCTGTTTGCTTTTTCCGTATTTTGATCTACTCAATTCAGGAAGAAAGCTTGTTTTACTTATAAATTAAAGTGCCAAGAGATTCAGGATAACCCATTCAGTTCCAGATAACATTTGTGCATGCTATATAGTACTGCAGAATTAAAAACAACATCCAATGACATTAAAAAGCAACTATTACATAAACTGGAATTTACTGTACATTTAGTTTTAATGAACATTACTTCCCTTCCTCAAATGATCCACTAGGTTTCTACTACATACACAACATCTCTTTAAGAGAACAAGAATTATAGAGCCTGAATGTTAACTATTATGTTTCAACATATACACAGATGTTAAATATCTTATTGTTACAAAGTTTGAATCTGTGTTTGAGTTTGTGTCAGTGGTGGGATTCAGCTGGTTCGCACCACTTCGGCAGAACTGGTAGCTAATTTTTTGTTGCCCAGGCCCAGAATGGACTTCTGGAAGCAGCGTCCATACAGAGAACCGGTTGTTCACATAACCGATTGTTCACATATTTGAATCCCACCACTGATTTGTGTGTGTGCATGCATTTTAAAATCATAAACCAAAGTGCTCTGGGACTTTAGGCTTTAAATAAACAGGCACCTGCAACATAACATTCCAGACTTAACAATTGTTGATAGGACAAAAAAGTCTGGATAGTGGCAGAATAGAAGCAGAATGGGGATAACAGAAGAGAAGAGAAAGAAATGGAGAAAATCACAAAGTACAAAGACCCAAAGGAGACACAGACCATCTGTGGCAAAAGAAAGCAAAGACAGCAACAGCTTTGGGTACAATTCCAAAACATCTGGAGAACCAGTCAACTGCAAAAGGCAATTTTACTTGGAGCAGCTTACATCCTGCAATACCTTTAACACCATTAAACACCATCACCTGCCTATCCCAGGTTCTTGGGAATGATTCAGTAGATGGATTAAAGATGCCAAATCCAGTCTAAACTGACTGTGCGATGTACCATAATTATAATTCCAGGGTGAGTTGGTAGATAAATATCTTTCAACTTCCTAGTTTAGAACTATGAGAAATTGACTGGACCCAAATCACCAAGCCAGCTTCCAAGCCTAGGGAAGGACTAGTTGCAGGATCTCTTTACTCTCAGCCCAGCAACTTAATTACTGTACCATATTCACACATTTCCTCTTGCATGTGTACATGCATCTGGTCATATATATGCAAAGAAATTTCTCCATATAAATAATTACCTATAGCAACCAAACACTGTTTCAGTTCAAAGTTATGTCACAGAGGATTCAAAATTATTCCATTTTCTCTCCTATGCAGGAGATAAAGAAATGTAACACTTTCTGTATGCTGATTAAACCATTTCCAGTTTGCATGATATATTGTGATGTGAACAAACCATGTTTAATTGCTCAACATAACGCCCACAGCTCAGAGCAACTTTGCTTGATAGCAGTTAGCAATCTATGAACTTCAGTTCTACATTTTTAGAAAAAATAGCAGTAATACTCACAAAAATAATTTACTAAACTAAATATGCAAAATTAAATTCAGAGATTAGATGAGATTAGATTAAAACTAACACTGCTTACCTGAGAAAGTAAGGTTTTGCATAAAAACGAAACAAATTCCCTTCAAAATAGACGTCAAATTCTGAAACTCGTGCATAAGGTACCTTGATAATTATTGTGAGAAAATCTGGATCTTGATTCAGTTCAAATACTGGAGTTATCATGATGAATATCAGAAAAAACAATACCACCACCTATAAAACAGTCATAATAGCAAACAAATTATTATTCTTGGAACATGTGTATCAATAGCATTTGAACATCTGAAAATGATAACTAAAAATTTCTAATAAAGTATTTACAGTTAACTGAAAGGTAATCATTATAATCAAAGAAAACTTATTTGTGGGGTGAGATTAAAAACATGCTTCCTATATTTGCTTATAGTACGTTACTTAAACAATATATTTAATTTTATACTTCACCATTCTTCAACTAAGGGAGGTGCAATAGGTTCCTGAATAATCCTTATTCAGAACATCCAGATCAAGTTAGCTGCATAAAAGTCTAAGTTTGTTTTTACTTCTTGGAAATCTACAAATTCGGGGAGTACCTATTATAATGGATCCAGATTTTTTTATTCAGCAGGTAGCAGTATTTTGCAAACTGTTCTACTCAAAGGAATCCTGAAAAGGATTAATTTTTGTTGTTGTTAGTGTAATGGTTCTTCTGTCTGCAGTCTCAGCATTGTTACGGGTTAAAAGCTCAGGTCTCCAGCATTGACTGAGAATGTCAATGCATCTTGCCATTTGCAAGGTGTCTGGTCCCTCTTGACAATTACATCTTCTCAAATTATGTTAATTTTAGAAACAAAGAAACTGTTACACTACAAAGGAAAATGCCAGCCTCAAGCATCATCTTTATTTGCAGGAATCTCAACCCCATATGCCAGCTGCATTTTTTTCCTTTTTCTATTTTTTTTTAATATTCAGCAAAGAAAACACACACAGAAACAATGCAACAGTGATCATATAAACCCAACATACACTTATACATGTGTAATAAACAGAAGCTTTAAAAACTCATATATAGGTAGTCTTCATTCGTTTGTGACCTTTCAAAGTTACAATGGCACTGAAAAAATGACTTACAACCAGTCCTTGCACTTATGACCGTCATAGCATCCCCACAAATCAAAATCTGTGTGCTTGGCAATCAGCATGTAATTATGATAGTTGCAAATTTTTGGGGTCCTGTGTCCTTCCCAGCTGGCTTCTCACAAGTAAATGGGATAAGCTGGATTCATTTAACATCCATGTGGTTAAGGATTCTCTTAACAGTTATGGCAAGGAAAGTCATAGACTTGGGCAGGATTCATTTAATAACTATCTTGTTTAGTAATGAAAGTGCCTGTTGCACAATAATCCTTATAAGTCAAGGATTATTGTATACTGTTAAACTGAAGAATACTTAAATATTTAAGAAGCTCTAAAATCCATAATTTGTATTAGACAATTGTCTCAGCCGGCTACCTTAACACTGTCATTTAGTATTGCACAGCAGACTTTTACCTAGAAATTATCCTGTGTTATCAGTGAGTTACAGATCTATAAACAACATATGTCAACTGTACCCACAGCTATATTGTTTAGTATCACAAAACCATTTTCTCCCTAGAAATGATAAGACACCTTCCTAAATAAAGGAAGATAATCCCAAAACACACAGATGATATATCCTACATCACCCCTTCTTCTTCAAAACATTAAATCTGCTAGCTTAAACATATTATAGCAATGTTACAATGGCACTTAAAAGTCTGTGAACCCGAACCCTTTTTAATATTCAATATTTCTACATAAATAAATATGATCTAAATAAAATATAATGGATCTTTCATACAAGTCCCAAAACTATATAAAGAGAAACCAATTAAATAAATGAGGCAAAAACATTACACTTGTTTATTTACTGAGGAAAATGATTCAAAGGTACATATTTGTGTGTGGAAAAAGTATATGAAGTTTTGCTTTCAGGAACTGGTGACCTCTTCCCCCATACCCAACAGCAATAATTGCAACTAAACATTTCCAATAACTGTTGATCAGTCCTGCACATCAGCTTTAAGAAATTTTAACCTATATTCCTCCTTACAGCCGAGGGAAGATGGTGAAAATCCTTCCATCAACTTTGGGTTATTTTGTAACGTTTTTATAGAATTATAGTCAGGACATTAACTATGTCATTTGAAAACACTAACTTGGTTCTACTTTAACCATTATTTTGGTTAATGTGGCTTGTAGTTTTGGATCATTATCTTGCTGCATTACCCACTTTCTCCTGAGTTTGGTCTCTACATCTCAGGCCCATTTTAGCTTCGGCAGATCATGTGCCTCCTACAAAGGGGGTTCCTTATAAACATAAGTTTGTACATTTTTGGAAAAAATATACTAACCTTGCTTTGTTAAACGCAAGTTTAGCATTTTTTCAAAAGAGGCTAGACCCTTGTTAAAAAACAAATATAATGCTCATTTCAGACCATTGCTGTTCTTGTGCTGCACAGAAAGTTGATTTAACCCCATAAAGAGATCCAGATAAAGGCAACTGCATTCCTGATTCTTATCCTGGTTAGTGCATTATAGGTAGTCCTAGGCTTATGACCACAATTGAGCCCAACATTTCTGTTGAGTTTTGCCCCATTTTACAACCTTTTTGCCACAGTTGTTAAGTGAATCACTGCAGTTGTTAAGTTTGTAACATGATGGCTGTTAAATGAATCTGGCTTTCCCATTGACTTTGCTTGTAAAAAGGTCACAAAAAGTGATCACACGATCCTGGGACACTGAAACTGTCATAAATATGAGCCAATTGAGAAGCCTCCAAATTTTGATCAAGTGACCATGGGGACGTCGCAGCAGCAGTCACGTAAAAACTGTTGGCCACTTTTTCAGTGCTGTTGTAACTTTGCTTGATCACTAAACAAATGGTTGTAAGTCAAAGATTTATCTGTAATGAGGCATTTCACTTTTCAATTTTACAACTGTTTTTAATACTTGAAAAGAAGTGCTGCCCTTTTGCCAACAGACTATTTCTGGTAGTTGCCATCCTCACTGTTTCCTGGCCGCACCAGGCAAAGCTGGGGCTCACTCATCATTGATTGCCTGCTTCCACCCTGCACCTTTCTAGCTATCTGGACTAACAAATCACAGCAGAGATCTGGGGGGTGAAGCAAGAAGGAGGGGATACTTTGTGGGAGAGTAAATGAACCCTTGAGCATCCATCAATCATTTCCACTTATCCAACATTAAAACTGTAGAAACAGCACTATTCACTAGCCTGGCTATTTAATCATCAATTTAATTTATGCTCATGCACTTTTCTGCAAGCGTTTTTTTTTTTTTTTTGAGAGAGAGAGCCAATTTGGTGTAGCGGTTAAGGCATCAGGCTAAAAACTGGGAGATCAAGAGTAAAGTCTTGTTTTAGGCACAAAGCCATCTGAGTGATCTTGGGCCAGTCAGTTTCTCTCATCCCTAAGTAAAAGGCAAATGGCAAACCACTCCTGGGGATAAAAAAAAAAACTTTGCCAAAAAAAAAACATGCAGAGATTTGTCCAGGCTGTCTCCAAGAATCAGATCCGAGTGAAATTTAGAAAAAAAAAATCCCTTGCTGCCAGCTGATAGGCTGGCTGTATACTCAGTCATTGAAAAATTAACCCGTACTACCTTTGTAAGCTATTTACACATACACACACATCCTTGCTTCCATGCTTTTCGAGCAGACCACTGCTCAGCCTGGCAACTTCCAGATATGCTGGAGTTCAATCCTATGATTCCCATCTAAAAATGAAAGATTACCACTATTTATTGCCCCTTTCTCCGTGGGCTGCTCAGCCTTTAACCTCTGCGGCAATTCCTTTCCACTTCCTACAGTCTTAATCTATACGCTGAGCAATAAGTAAGGGAACAGGAATGCCACAAATGAAAGCCCGCGCCAACACTTACCACCCATAGAAGCTTCAGATGCTTCCCACGTTTCCGCGATTTGCTTCTCCGCCTCCAGCCGTCCGATTCTCTGACGGCGACGAGGCTCCCTACGGGCTACAGCCTACTGCCAATCCAATTGCTCTTCTTCAATAGGAAGCCGTAAAGCGAAGAAGGCGGGCTATTGGGGAGGCGGATTGAAAGATCATTGGAAGAGCTCATCCAATCAGAAGTGCTTGGGCTAGCACGAAAGTGATACGGATGCTGGAAAAAAAAAGGAAAAACAACGAACGAGCCAGACAGACAGCCAAAGACTCACGTGACAGATGCCAGGGTGGGACGACTACAGGCGTTCTGGTTCTGCGCGTGCGCTGCATCGGAGCAAGGGCGTCCTTCCTTCGGTTCTGGTTGTACGAAGAGAGAAACGCGGGGAAATCAGCTTAGTTTTTGACTAGCTTTGTGCCTGACTGTTATTAACCGTTTTACCAAAACGCCTGAGCGATGGAGGCAGGATTGGCTGTTAAAGTTGCTCCCATATCGCTAATGGCGTTTACGTAATAGAACCTAAGCTGGACAAAACAGGACTAGATGATTCTTATTTGGCAGGTTTTACTTGCACGGGGATTCGGAGTTGTTAAGAGTAGCATCCCCTGCAACCTCGATCCGGGCAAATCTGCTGAATGACAGCTCCTAAACGATGCCAAGAATTTTAACATTAAAATAAGTAGTCTCTGTGTGTGTGTGTGTGTGTGTATGTGTGCGTGTGCGTACGGGTATACTTTTGGGAGCGGGCATCAGAATTTCATTTTTCACAGAAAAAAAGTGACAATAAAGCTTATCGAATGAGAACACGAGAGGTTACGCTGCAGACCGCAACGTGCACGCTGCCTAGCCCTAGCCCAGAGTAGGCAACCTCGGCTCATTTATGACTCATGGACTTCAACTCCCAGAATTCCTGAGTCAGCTATGCTGACTCAGGAATTCTGGGAGTTGAAGTCCATGAGTCATAAAAGAGCCGAGGTTGCCTACCCCTGCCCTAGCCTAACCCATGCTCTGTACAGCTGCACGTTGACGGCCGCCCTGCGCCCCTCCACTTTGTAGCTGAGGTGGTTTTCTGAACTTTACGGTAGGGTCTTCCTGGCCCCTCCCCGCTTGGCCGCTGAGCTGCGGGGCTGGTGTGGCAGATGCGCGCCGCCAACTCCCTCCTTTGCGCCCGACGCTTCGGGCGGCGAGCGGCTTTAAAATGTCAAAGCTGGATCCAATTTGCCAGCGCGGGAGCGGGAGGATGAGGGGGATGTCTCTCCGCCGGGACTGAGGCAGCCTTGCCTGCCGGACGATGAGGCTCTCTTGCAAAGTGGTGGCCCTGGCGCTCTGCCTGGCGCTCCTGCTGCTCCTCTACCTCTTGGTGGGCAACGCCGACGAGCCCCCTTTGCCAGCGGCGGGGGAGAGCCCTTCGGGGCCCGTGGCCGCCGGGAACGTCGCCCCGCCGCTCCAGACTCGCTTCCGACCCGTCCAGCCGGCGGAGCCAGAGAAAGAAAAGGCAGTTCAGGTTTCCAAGCGGGAGCCACGTCCCCACCGAAAATCGGGCAAACGCAACGCGGTTCGAGCCAGAGGAAAGTCGGCGAGCCTTCGGTAATGCCTTCCGAGTCGACCCTGTTGAGCCTCGATGGCTCGGGGTTCATCGGCAGTGTGTCGAAGCAAAATGGGTGGATGGGTGGGTGGGCAGGGATTTGGGGGAGATGGGGCCTCTTCCTTCTCTCGGCTCCTAGGGAGGAAACCGGATTTCTCCGAGAGGTACGTCCTGAGACATGCAGGTAAACTCCGTGAGTTTTGTTTTGTAAGGGGGGGGGGAAGTCCTTGAAAGTTTATTCGATTGCAGTTGGAATTCTTGTTTGGGGGATTTTACTCCAAAATGCAGATTGATGCTCTCTGTATACTCTCAAACATATGAAAGATGCTTGGCACAAGCATACTAAGCCAAAATGCAGTTTGGATTCAATATGTCAAGAGTCCCAAAACCATGTTTAATGTGTCATTTAATAATCAGGCTGTGGTGGAAAAATTTATATTTTTAATGCATAATTTGTACACCTGCTGATTGTAATGATGTTAAAACTGCTCCCCACTTGATGCATTTAAATAGCCAAGTACCAATTACAAATGTTTCACATAAGTTTATAATAACCTTTCTGGAAAAGGTGATAGAGAAGACATGGCCCATTAATGCTTTTATGTAGCCAGTAAAGAACCACATCTTCTCTCTCCCTCTTTCTTTCTCTCTCTCTTTTTCTGGAACATACATATATTGCTCATAACTGCAGTGTTTTGTGATGTGGGCTCACAACTGTATTCAAGATGTTAAGCAACCTTTAGAGACCCACTCAATCCCATTATAGTCCTTAATATGTGGAAAAAATAATCAACTGTCCAAATAATCAGCTGTGAAAGATAACCCTCTTTCCTGAACACGTTTCTGTATAAGCAGCTGAAATCCTGCTTAATTCTTTGTTTTTGCAATGTTTATACTCTTCTCTGCATACTATTGTTTCACTTCTAATAGTTTTCCTATATAGAGATAATAACAAAATTTTGAATTACTTGGAAAAGACAACATGCATTGGCTTCCTGTCCTGTATATCTGTTCCAATTAAATGCTGGTTGTAAAGTTCATAACTGCTAGCATACATGTTGCTGAAAGTTATGTGGAATTTGTCAGCAGTCCCACATTAGAGTTTTCTTGTATCTGCTCATTTGGAAAAAAGAAATAAAGAACCATGGTTTAGCACAACATATAAACTAATAGAGAGCCAGTTTGGTCTAATGGTTAAGGCACTAGGCCAGAGGTCCCCAACTTTTTGGCACCAGGGACTGGTTACATGGAGAGAGGTTTTACCGGGGACCGGAGGGGGTGTGGTTTGCGTGCTGCCTGCATCCTGCAGATTGGGCTTTGCTTGTTTGTGTGGACCGGGGCTGGGGACCCCTGCACTAGGTTAAAAACTAGGGGACTTGAGTCCTAGTCCTTAAGCATGAAAGCCAGTAGGGTGACTTGGCCAGTCACTCTGTTAGCCCAACTCAACTCACAGAATTGTTTTTATGGGGAAAGAAGAGGAAGGAGGAGCATTAAGTACGTTCACTGCCTTGAATTATTTATAAAAAAGGCAGGATATAAATGAAAATAATATCCCTGTCGCAGGTCCTTGGGAAGGACTTGATAGGTGGATAAAAATGCCAAATCCAGTCTAAATATCTGGTTGATCACAACAAATAATATTAAAAAGCCACACTTAACTTCTCAAATTTATTATAAGAAGCATGGAAGTTGAACTGGAAAAAAGGAAGAGAAGAGCAATAGAGATGATGAGAGGCTTAGATGTTAAATCTTCAGGACAGTTGAAAGGATTGGGTGTTTAGCTGAAAGAAGAGAAGGCTAAAGAGAAGCATGATAGCTATCTTCCAATACTGTTGCAGGGAAGAGGGTGTAGATTTATTCTCTATAGTGTCTTAGCATAAAGCAAAGACCAATTAATGAGATGCAAGCTCAAAATGAGATGCAAGCTCAAATTTTTTGACCATGATTGCTATGAAGTAGTGGGGACATTCTGGAGTCATCCTGAATATTCCACCATTGGAGTTTTTCAGCAAAAGGTTGGATAGACATCTCTCCAGGATGATGTGAAGATTTCTACAATGGGTGGACTCGACCACCATGGTTCCTCACAACTATGACTTGGACCAGGATATTAGTGCCAAAGCATTTTTTAAAAAATATTTTATTTAGTTATTAAATTTATATGCCATCCATCTCACTATCAAGTTTCCAGTACCATAAATAATAAAATAAAACAATTACTGGAGGGAAAAAAAATAAAATATGAATATTAAAAGTTAAAATGTTAAAACTAATATTAAAGTAAATAAAAGAAGCAATGCATAGTTGGTTAGAAGTGGGACCTTCTACCAATCTACTAGCCATGTAAGGACCCACCCCACTTTGCATCTTAATAATTCTTCCAACAGGGATCCTTTATTAAGAGAAAATGGTTGCAGGCGTTCTAGACAGGACTTGGGGTTCAAGCTCTCCCATTCGAGGTTTTAAGGGGTTCCCCAGTAGTCCCACCCAATCACCCCCCTCTTCCAGTGACAGTTTCAGGCATCACAATCCCACCCCTTTTTTCCTTTCTTCCATCTGGATGGAGACTTCAGATAAACTACATGAAAGGTAAATAGCCTCCTTTGTTATGATAAGGCCTTTTGGTGCTAACCACATTCAAACCCTTTGAAGTTGTACCAAAGGAAGTGAGGGCCATAAAGCCCCTTTGTTCACCCCCCTCTCTTTCTTTATGGCAGAATCCAGAGAGGGCAGAAATGGGGTTTTCTATAATTGATAACTGGAGATGAAGTATAATTGGATTCTGACATCCGGCCCCCCTTAAAAATAAGAGAGATCCACCTGAAAGAAAACAAAACAGGTATAAAAATTAGTCAGGCTTGTTAGGATACTCTGTGTGAAACTTCTTCAATAGCTTCGGGGCTCTGACATGACGTTTATGGACCCACTCATTTTGTGAGGGAGGGAGGTGTTTCCAGGCAACTAGGTACTGAGTTGCTCCATGATATCTCCTAGAGTCAAGGATTTCCTTTATTTCGAAAGTGTTGTTCGCCCTCCACCATGATTGGAGGTGGTGGGGGGGGATTTTTGGCCGTAGAGGTGACTGATGCTCTCTTTTCAGCAAGCTGCAATGAAAAATTGGGTGTATTTGCCTGAGATTTTTGGGTAATTCTAATTCTACTGTTACTGGATTTATGATTCTTTTAATTGGAAAAGGTCCTATATATTTTGGTCCAAGTTTTTTACAGGGCTGTAGGGACTTTAGGTATTTTGTAGATAAGTACACCATTTCTCCTATAATGAATGGTGTAGGCTCAACCCTTTTTTTATCGGCTTGTGCTTTGTATGCCTGCCTAGCTTCATCTAGTGCTTTTCTAACTATTGGCCAGGTGTTTTGTAGTTTTTCCATCCATTCTTTCAGTGAAGGGATCGTTGGTTCGTTTGGGGTTAACTCTGGCATGGGATTGAAACTTTGACCGGTAGCTATTTGAAAAGGAGTGTAACCTGTGCTGGAGTGGACTGCATTATTGTAGGCAACTTCTGCAAAAGGGAGTAAGTCCGCCCACTCCGTCTGCTGGAAACTAAGAAAACATCTTAAATATTGCTTAAGTACGGAGTTCATTTTTTCAGCCCCCCGCCATTTC